ACCGAAGGCTGGCGGAAGCGTGCTGCCAACCTTGCGCGTTTCCCAAGGCCGAGAGACCTCGCCAGCGCACCATCCTTGGGAACTGAGACCCGGGAAAAGCCTTGCAGCTCTTTCTTCCTTTTCCTCAGAAGGAGAAGCTGGACGTGGAGGCTGGTCCACTGTGGTTTTATTTAGATTGTGCTTAGCCAGCATCCTCCAGCCCCCTCTAATCACACAAACTGAGTGCAGAAACCGCACTGATGGCTTCAGTAACGAGCTGCTGTGCAGGGTGATGAGGTAGGGATTAGAGGAGGGAACAGACTCAGGCTACCAGGGGAGGGCTTGAAGCTTGCTCTCTCCAATTTCACCTTTCCCCGCAGTCCCCACTCCCAGCCCCTTGTCCTTCACCACCCTCGTATTTCTGTTTCACGGTGCAAGATATTAAAGCTGTCTGTGGGTTTCAGGGAGGTATTTAGTATCCAGTAATCAAAACGCCCTGGGCCAGAAATGCATCAGTTCAAATGGACTTTGTTTTAGGCACATGTGAATTGCTTTTATTTAAAAGAGAAAGAATCTGGGGCCCACAGACCCACTGTGGTTGGGCCTTTACGAGATCATTCTTTCCTGCCTCTGCCTCTAACTAGGCTCCAGTTACCTTTAAAGATGTGCAGAGAAAGCCGCCCTCTAACCATCTCTGGTCATCCATTCCAGCCCTTAATTGGCCTTTCTCTCGGGAAATGTTTATCATCTAACCTGAATCTCCCACACAGAGTACCACACAAACTCATTTCCTCTTGGTCGGCAACGGAAGGGGCGTTTCAGTATATGATCCGGTCGTGCTTCATTCTGTATTTGAAGACAGTTCATTACGCTGCTCTTATGGCCTCGTCCACATTTCTATCAGGATTTCCAGTTTCTCTGATAGCAACAAGTTCCTCTTCGTGAATGCCCACTGCCCACTTCTTTCTCTGGTCCGTGAGCCAGCCCATGGGTCTGGCTGTTCTGATGTCATGCGGGAGAGAGAGTCTGTGTCCTCACCTTGAGGGGGGTACTGACTGTCCTGTGGCAGCCGCGTTGGAGGGGACACACACTGACTGTCCGTGCTATTGGGAGCTGCCTGCCCTTGGCATCCCAGGGGCTGGAGGGATGTGGGTGGGTGTGGGTGGGGACCTGCCCCTTCTGCCTCCCACTCACTTGGGTGGGCACCCAGGAGAAATCTAGCTTCTCAGCTGCTATTTTTCACTTAAGTTCCCTCCTGGAAGTTTCTGCTGAATAATGGACTTCGGAGTTTGCAGGGCTCCAGAAGCAGACAGGTGTTGGATGTCTTGTGTCTGCAGGAAAAGGGAGCCTGAACAGTTGAGAATAAACAACAGTTGCTTGGTAACATGAGCTCCTTTCATTAAAGTCAGAGGCCTGGCTGTGTGAGCTGGAGGGCAGGGAGGCCTGGTTGGTCTGGCACCACCTGTCTGGAGGGCCAGAGGTGAGGGCAGTTTCCTGGAGAACCGCCGAGTCGGCTGAGAGTGAAATGTGGGAGAGAAGTGGCAGGGTGGGGGGACTTGAGAGGAATGCAGTGGCTCAGATTCTGAAGCTCTTTAGTCCTGACCCCCTGACACCGGCTCCTGTGAGAAATTGTTTTGCAGAACTTTGCACTTCCCTTTCCACACTTGTAAAATAATGGATGGAACCGAATAAGCTACACGTCGTTTCGTGACATACCCAACTAAAATCAGGGCTGGTAAAATGCTGGTGCTCCAAGGGACCTGCTTTCCAGAGCTGATGCGTTTGATGAGATTTGGGTGGCCTCTAAGTGGCTTCAGATGACCCAGGTTCAAGTTCTGCCTTTGTCATGGATCAGTTATTGTGTTTTTATCTCTGACCTTGGATATCTTTCTGTGCCTCACTTCAATAAATTATAAAATGAGGGTAATAACATCTGTCCTCACCGCTAGGGTCACTGGGAAGATAAAATATTACAGATGAAAGCCTTTGTGACAGTGTAAAGGTTGTTTTACAAACAAAACACACAGGACACTGGACAGAATCAAAGGAAGGACAAACTTGGTCCTTCCTTTAATGTGTGTAGTTTTCACAGCAATGATGACTTGCAGCTGGAGGGCATTTCATTTTCAAACTAGTGTCCCATTTATCATCTTCCTTGACAGTGCCACAGTGGAAAGGAAACAGCTGAGGGTGGTGGGATGGGGATGTGTTTAAAAAGAAACATTTTTTTTTTTTTATTGAAGCAGAGTTGATTTGCAATGTTGTGTTAGTTTCCGGTGGATGTGTTTTGAGTAGGGTTTTATTGGGTGACAAGTACCTTCTTTTCTTTAAGCCGAGACTGCAGGTGGAGGTGAGCTAGGACAGTGGCTGGGGGCTTCAGGTACTCTGGGTATCTGCTTCCCAAGTGAAACGTGGCAGACTTAGTGTGGCGGAGGTTTTCCCTCAGGCCAGGAGAAATGTAAATGATCACTCTCAACTACTGCTGGGCACAAGGCTTAAATTAAACCTCATAGGGTTTTAGATTTTAGGTCCAGCATCTCTTGTGGGTGGAAAAGGGGCTGAAGTATGTGGGAGGAGGAAGCTGCTTGCTTTTCTTCCTTTCAAGGGGCGTACATTTAAATTCAGAGGGCGCACAGTCCCCTTGCGGGGGCCAATCCCCTTGCTGAATCTCCCTCTCCCCAAAATACCCATGGAACCCTCTGGCCCCTGTCTGTGCACCCTCCCGTTTTGTTCCATCTTGTTTTGTTTTTTGGCTTCCCAGTGAACGGTAGTGAGCCCACCCACCTTCCTTTTGCCCCTTAGACACCTGAGACGCCGCTCTCTTAGTTCAACTGCCCCCTTAACAAGCAGGTTCCTTGAACTGAAAAGTTGCCAGATCCCCGGCAACCTGCTCGTCTTTGGAGGAAATCCAAGGCAGTGAGCAGCTCTGTGGCTTAGCTCCGGACCCTGAAGTTTGGAGGGACAGCTTGGCTTCCTAGGCATTCCCGGAGCCGGAAGCAGTGTCCTGCCACTTGCCAGGCCTGACACCTGATGGGAAGGAGTTTATCCTTTCCGGGACACATCCAGGAGTTAAAACACAGTGATACCAAGCCACCCTTGAGAGAGCCAGTGGCCGGATGTGGAGAGTCAGAAATAAGACAGGCCCGCTGTTCCAGGGAGTCATTTACAGGTGGGCCTGGCTCTGGCTTTTCGGCTTCAGTCTCTCTCTCGCCCGGAGCAAAACATACTTCCCTCAGATTCCTGGCCTCATGGAGGTTGTGCAGGGTCACAATGCCTGGAGCTCCCCCCATGTGTCATTGCAGGGCATGGTGGACCCATGGCCAGCTGTCACACTTGAACTGCAGGGACATATTTTCTTACAGTGAGTTCTGGTGGCCTTTAGGAATGTGATTTTTTCCTCAGCTTTGGGACACTTGTGAAATGTCCTCATGACCTTCATGCTGGCACAGAAGCTGGGCATTGTTTCCCTACTGGACTCACGGAGAGGGGCAGAGGGGATTGGGTGAATTGCACTGTGGACTTAATGCTGCACTATTTGTACTCCTACTGGTCTCTTTGAAAGCCATCATCTCTACTTTGGTTCTCACGTGCAGGTGCAGGACTTACTGGAGAGGCACATGCGCTGTGGGCTGGGAGGAAAGATGAGCGGTAACAGTCTATGATCTAGGAGCTGGGCTGCTTTAGACTCAGTCCTGACACAGGGCTCCTCGGTAAGGTGGATCAGTTCTAGGGCCAGGCTCTTAGGGTGGTACCTGGGTCTAGGGAGTGAGGGGTTCAGCATAGCTTGGGACACTACAGGACTGATCCAGACTTTCGAGGTTCCATGACCTGGGGACATACAGACTTTTTGTGACCCAGTCCATGCCCCTTGCAGGTTGAAGCAGACTTGATCCAGCCCCCAGGAATGTAAAGGGAGTTCCCTTAGCTCCCTGAGACTCACTTTGCTGGATGCTTTGCCTTCTGGGTGCTCACCTTCCTCTAATTTCATTCTGTGCTTGGGATGGGGCTCTGGTATTGACGGGGTCACTCCAGATGCACGGAGATCACTCCCTTTTCCTGACTGGTCCTGTGTGTCCTGTGTCTCTCAGGTCCTACTGTCTGTCCTTCCTCCATATGTCATGTCTGCTGTCCTCGGCTTATTCCACAGAGCTGTCCTCTCTTCTCAGCCTGTCATTTTGGAAGCAGTCTCCAGAACTGCACCCCCCTGCACCCCACGTTATTCAGAGAAAGCACCTTTCTCAGGAGAGGAGATCCAGCCGAAGAGTCCCTAGTTTTCCCTCAACCCTGTATCCTGACTGAATTCCTCGGTTCCTCCCTTCCCCTGCTCCCCCTCAAAGAAAAAGCAGGGAGTTAGATTAATGAGAGCTGCCTGGCCAAGCCGTCGCTTTGAGAAAGTTTGGGCTGTGATCCTATTTCATTCGGCTGATTGGAGCAGCCTTGGCTCGGAGGTAGCGTCCCTCCCCAGGGATCCCGGGTGCAGTTACGCCAGCCGTCGCCGCCTGTGCACGCCCTTTCTGGACAGACGTGACCCCCCGCTCCTCGCCCCCTGTTTCTCCTCTTTTGTTTTCATCCAGCGTCTGCTTCCTCTCTCTCTCTCTCTCTCTCTCCCTCTGCCTCTCCCTCCCGCTCTCTGCCTCCCTGCAGCGCCAAGACCGGCTCCCCAGCCTAGTCCGCCGAACGCAAACCGCTGAGAGTTTGCCGAGCCGCCCCCTGGGGCCCGGGCCGCCGAGTCCCGCTCGGGCACGGCCGCCGCCAGCCGGCGAGGGAGCGCCGCCGAAGGAAAAGCAGCGGGCGCGCGAGGGGAGCCCCGGAGGGCGGCCGGGCGGCCGACTTAGACTCCGGGGCGGTCGCGCCGCGAGCCCCCGCGCTCCCCCTTCCCGCGCGGCGCTCCGGGAGACGAACTTGCTCCGCTCGCGGCTCGAG